CCCCCAACGCGCGGGGGACGTGGACGCGGCCGCACTCACGTCTCAGCGGGTTCTCGACCACGGGGCTCCCTTCCCCCGGGCGCTCAATCTTGAAGACCTCGTCCACGAAGATGATCCGACAGTCGTTGAGAGAGTCGTCCCTGTGGGGTGAGGGCGGGAGTGCGGTCGGATGGTGTGGGCGGCCAGGCCCACGGACGCCTGAGGAGACCCTGCCAGGCCACCCAGCTGTAGGTGTCTCAACAGCACTGGGTGTGACGTCGGGTAAGACGGATGTCATTGGTCTCATGTCTCAGTGTAAGTGGAGTCAGAAGGGTTTTTTTTGTTTGTTTTTTGAGAGGTTTTTGCTATAGGGCGTGTGTGCTCGCCAGACAGAGAGACAGAAAGCGAGAAATCACCCCCCGGGGGGATGGCCCCGCCACAATCCCTTCTCCTCCATTCTCCTCTCGGGATCTTGGGCACACACGCCCGGCGTGAGTTTTAAGCCACCGGGTCCGGGACACGAACCGTGGTCAACTACATGGGAGTCCAGCGACGCAGCCATTACGCTAACTGCTAGTCCACCCCATGCATGTGGTCGACTACATGAGAGTCCAGCGACATAGCCATTACGCTAACTGCTGGTCCCTCCTCTCGGGATCTTGGACACACACATGCGCCCGGCGTGAGTTTGAGCCACCGGGTCTGGGACGTGAACTGCAGTCAACTACATGGGAACCAGTGATATAGCCATTATGCTAACTGCTGGTCCCTCAAACCGAAGTTTCTACAAGATACATATGAGAGTAAGTTTGTGGGGCCAGCAGGTGGCATGGTGGTTGGGGCACTGGACTCCCACATGGCCAACTGCGGTTCGAGTCCTGGACTTGGGGGCTTGCTTTCTCACTTTCTCTCTGTCCCTTTCTGGTCAAATTAAAATAAAGTTAAATAAAATGATTCTCTAAGAAAAGCATGTTTGGGGCCAGCAGGGGCGCGGCATTTATGGCGCTGGATCCCACACGGCCAACTGCGGTTTGCAACCGTGGTTTGAGTCTCAGACCTGGCAGCTTGAAAACCATGCCGGGCGTGCGTACCCCAGAGCCCGAGAGAGGAGTGGAGAAGGGACCGCAGCGTGGCCGTCCCCTGGGGCTGATGTCTCACGCTTCCCCTCCGTCTCTCTCCAGCAAGTGCACATACCAAAGCCCAGAGGGAAGGAGGGGCGGCCGCCCAGGGGCTCACCCGAGCATGACGTTGGCGTACAGCTCCCGCAGCGTCCGTGTCTCGCGCTTCCTCGAGATCTCTGCGTCGTACCAGAAGCCACGCTCCTTGGGGTTGTCGGGGTTGTAGTTCAGCATGACCACCTGGCCCACCTCCAGGTCCTGCCACTTGATGATGGTGCGGGCGCGGGCCCGGACATCGCGCGAGTGCATCTGCACCACCCCGTTCTCCGGGTAGCTGCGGGGAGACGTGTCCTCAGGCCCCGTGGGAGCGGCCGACTCCATCCCTCACCCGAGGCGTGAAAGGCCAGGCTCGCCCCGGAGTGTGGGGTCCCTCCTGACGGCCTTGCTCGCTAGTCTTGAAATGGTAGGCATGGAGTCATCCCTGCGGCCAGTGGCTAGGGGAGCTGGATCCCACATGGCGGACTGCAGTTCAAATCCCAGCCCCAGACGCTTGAAAGACGGGGCCCGTGTGTGTGCCCACAGCCCCGAAGGGATGGGAGGTGGAGGAGGGCTCCCTGTGCCGTGTGGGACCTGGCACACAGTAGGTGTGCAGTGTCTACGCAGGGAACGGCGCCGCGCCTCACGGGGTGCGGGGAGATGACCCACACACCTCGGAAGGCCTGAACGGTAGCAGGTGGTGTGGGGGACGGGGCGGGCCCGTCAGGGCAGGCGGGGTCTCCAAGGAGTCGGGGGCAGCCCTGCGGCGGACCCTCACGTGCGTCCACTAAGGGTGGCCCCGAGGAGTACCGGGTCCGGCGGGAAGCAGCCCGCCGGCCGCACACTCACTCATCATATCTGACGTGGTAAACGACTTCTTCTTCCAGGGTCGGGCTGGAGGTGGAGCTGCAGGGCTCGTCCGGGGACGGCGCCTTCCTCGTCACCCTGACCACCTGGGCCTCGAACCAGGCCCCCATGTTCGTGTCCCGGGCGTCGATGTACTCGTTAACCTGCGAGGAGCACGGACGCGCTCAGTCCAACCGGCCAGCACGCAGACCAGGGCCGGCTCTGGCCCCGAGCGTGGGGCCTGCGAGGCATCGCAAATGTCCCAGGCACTCCCCACGCCCCTGGCTGTCCGGGCGAGACCAGCCCCGGGCCATGGCTCCAGCGCCTGGCTCCCGGACGGTCGGCCCTGTCGGAAGGTCCCGGAGGGCCAGGGTCTCCCCGTGTGGCTGGACGTGCACACGCCGGTGGACCGGGCGCAAGCCCGTCGGTGCCTGTCTCTGTCCCTGGCTCTCCCACGGAAGAAAATAATGAACGGTAAAAAGGAAGACAGGCGGCGTGGTGGTTAAGGTGCTGGGCTCCCACACGGCTGACCATGGTTGGAGTCCCAGACCTGGCAGCTTGCTTTCTCATTTTCCCTCTCTCTCCCTCTCTCTCTGTGTCCTTCTCTGGTCAACTTAAAATAAATAAAGGGACCAGCAGTTGGTGTGATGGCTATGTCGCTGGACTCCCAAGTAGTTGGCTGGGGTTCGAGTCCTGGACCCAGTGGCTTAAACTCACAGCAGACGAATGCATGTGAATGCCGAAGATCTCGAGAAGAGACGGGATTGCGGCGTGGCCATCCCCCACTCTCTGTCTCTCGGTCTTTCTGGCAAGCGCATGCACCCTATAGCAAAACCTCTCCAAAAATAAAAAATAAAAACAAGAAATAAAGGAAAGAAGCCAGGGCCTGCCGGCTTGATGGGGGCAGAAGGCACCTGGGTTACGTGAACAGAGGCTCCGCCCCCCGCGGGGCCTCCTGCCCGAGAGAAGCTGGAGGGGCCGGCAGGTGCTGGGTGGTTAAGGAGCTAGGCCCGCATACGGCCGACCGTGGCTCGAGTCCCGGACCTGGTGGCTTGCTCGCTGGCTTTTCCAGTCCGTGCCTGATCAGCCTTAAAAAGGCTAATAAGGGACCCTGGCATAATGGCCGTGGTGCAGACCCCATGGAGTCAACCAGGGCTGAAACTCACGCCGTGCATGACCAAGGTCCCCAGTGGAGAACGGAGAACTGACTGTAACTGTGCGTGGCCATCCCCCGTCCTCACTGCCCGTCCCTCACTCCATCTCTTGTACAGCCCCAGCTCCGTCCACGGCCGGCAGGGGGCGCTCACCTTCTACAGCCCCAGCTCCGTCCGCGGCCGGCAGGGGGCGCTCACCTTGTACAGCCCCAGCTCCGTCTCGTCCCAGGCGTCCTCGTCGGCCAGGCCCGCTTTGCCGTCGGGCTCCGCGGCCGCCTCCCCGTGGGGGGGGGACTTTCCCTCTCCGCGGCCGCCTCCCCGTGGGTGGAGGACTTGTCCGACTCGCTCTGGCCCAGGCAGCAGCCCGAGTCGGTGTCGGACAGCTCCGAGTCCCTCTCCTTGAGGCTGGCGGGCGGCGCCGGGCTCTGGCGGGCCAGGAGCTGGATGGTGTCGTTGAGGCGCACGTCGTAGTCAAAGAGCGTGTGGCCGTCCTCCATCTGCAGAGAGCCGGGACAAAGGCCCTTGGTCCCCCGCACGTGGGGCGGTGACGGCGGGCGCCAGGCTGGCCCCGGGCAGCGGAACAGCCCCGCCCAGCCCTCTCAGAGTGACCCAGCGGGGCGGCCCACGCGCCCTGGAGACCTCCCTGAGGACACCGGGCAGGCAAGTGCCCACGACCCACGGTTGGCTAAGGCTGGGACGGGGGACAGGCATGACACAGGACCCCATCCCGGGTGCCATCTCCGTCTCTCACTCATGGAAGAGAAAAAGATAAGAAAAAAGGACGGGGCCAGCTGGAGGTGTGGAGGGTGCGGCAGCTGGATTCCACAGGCAACTGCACGGTGGTCCCAGACCCAGTAGTTTGAAAATCACGCTGGGCGCATGGGCGAGCGTGCAAGGGGTTCCGTCTGTGTGGCCAGCACTCTGGGGGGGATTTCTCCCTTACCCTCTCTCTGTCCCTCCCCAGCCAGTGCATGTGCCCTCTGGCAAAACTTTACAAAATCAAATAAAAATTGGGACCAGCAGACAACGTAATGGTTACATCGCTGGGCTCCCATGGAGTCGACTGCAGTTCGAGTCTCAAACCATGCGTGCCCAAGATCCCGAGAGGAGAAGGGACTGTGGCGTGGCCATCCCCCCCGGGGGGTGATTTCTCACTTTCTGTCTCTGTCTCTCTGTCTTTCCAGCGAGCACACACGTCCTATAGCAAAAACCACTCAAAAAAAAAAAATTTAAGACCATGAAAACTGGTCCACTGGGGTGGGGACCACTGACCGCTGTGGGTGTCAGGACTGGGGGAGGCCCCGGCATGGAGTGAGTGGAGCCGAAACCTGCACTGCCCAGAGCACCCCACACAGAGTAAGCCGCCCCAGCACCCGCAGACCCGGGGTGGGGGGGGATCCCGGCACGCCTGGGGAAGATACACCCCAACATCCGAGCCCGCTGTCTCCACCCCACCCTGCGGCCCCACCCCTCTCACCTCCTGGTCCTAACCCCGCGGGGTGGCTCACAGTAGCCAGGGGCATCTCAGCATCGCCCTCAGCAGGAGGCTGGGGACTTCTGCCACCTGAGGCCAGGACTTGGCTTTTTCTGGAAGCCACCCCAGGACACTGTGCCACGCTCTGCCTGCTTCCTATCCTTCCCATCGGGCAGCCCCAGGCGGCCCCCCACCCCGCCCTGCGGGCTGCAGGACCTTAGCGAGGGGGCGTTCTCCCTGGGGCTCAGCGTTCTCCCTGGGGCTCAGCGCACACCGCCAACTTTTGCCTCCATCTGGGGGTTCAGAGGCCAGGGCCCTATTAATATGCAAATCGCCCCAGGGTCACAGGAAAGGCCAGTCCCAGGGTACAGTCCCTCCCTGCGGGGCTGTGAGAACTAAGAAGGCTGAGGGCCCATGGTCCAGGAACACGCAGGAACACATGGGCCCTAGCCGCAGCCGCAGGGACCCCTGGGGGCAGGCCCCGCGGTGTCCGAGCTGCGCACAGGCTGCGTCCCTGCCCTCGGCGGGATGACACGTGACGGCGTCTCACCCACGCACGGGCACGCACACGAACACAACGTCCAGGACACAGCACCAGGCGCCCCCGTCGCAATGGGGGGACACAGCCGTGGGGGAGGCGCACTGAGCCCGGCCAAAACCTCTGGGGACAGACAGACCAAGGCTGCCTGAGGCCAGGTGGGGAGGAACACCACCACAGGACGGAGGGGACAAGAGCATAAAACTGGAAGGTGGCGTGGTGGGTAAGGGCGCTGGACTCCCACACGGCCGACAGCGGTTCAAGGCCCGGACCTGGCGGCTTGCTTTCTCTCTCCCTCTTTCTCTCACACACTCTGTCCCTCTCTGGTCAAATTAAAATAAATAAGTAAACAGGTGCGTAAAGTTAAATAATTTAAATAAGAGCACAAAACAGACCCTAAAGAGAATGGCCGAAGAGCCGGCCCAGAGCCCAGGGGGCGGGCGGCTGGAAAGCACATGGCCTGTGGCAGTCTGAATCCCAGCCAGGCCTGAAAGCAGAATCTCAGCAGGGCGCAGAAGCGGGGAGGGCCTGTGGCGTGGCCATGCCCCAGTGGGGGCACTTTCTCCCCACTTCTCTGACGAGCACCTGTGCCCTGGGTCAAATTTAAAAAAAGAAAAGTACGGGCCAGGAAGGGATGTGATTAGGGGCAGGTGGACCCCACAGGGCCGAGCGTGAGGTTCAAGTCCCAGGCCTGGGAGCTTATCATTCAGATGGGATGCGGGTGTGGGCGTGCCCCCGTGAGCCGAACCCCAGAGGAGAATGGAGAAGGGACCATGGTGCGGTCATGTCCCCCAGCCCCGGGGTTGATTTCTTGCTTTCGCTCTCTCTCTGTCTCTCTCCAGAGAGTACGTGCACCCTATAGCAAAAATGAAAATTCAAAAGTTAAGTAAATCAATTAAAGCAAAGCTCAGCCTCTGGTACAGCCTGTGGCGTCCTGGCCTGCAGAAGCACATCCCCACCATGGTTCGAGTCCCCAGTCCAGGTGTTCTGAAAACACGCAGGGTGCATGTGCCTCTCACACCCACGCGCTCTCTTCCCCCTCACGCTCATGCTCGGACAGGCCGCTCCGCCATGAGTAAAAAGTCTAAATAAAGCTGAGGTGGAAGTCCCGTGCAGTAACAATTTCCATTGAAATTAAGATAAATAAAATAATACATAGTTCTAGGCACATAAACCCACACAGTAGATTCAGGTCTAAGAGCAACGCTCCTGTAGTATTTATTAATAACTATTTTACTTAACTCTATCTATTTTAATTTGACCAGAGAGGGGAGGAGAGAGACAGGGAAAATGAGAAAGCAAGCCACCAGGTCCGAGACTCGAACAGTGGTTGGCTATGTGGGAGTCCAGTGCCTTTAACCACCACGCCACCTGCTGGCCCCTGCCCGCAGTATTTAAACTGCATCTCTGTCTTTTCTTTTTTTCCATTTTTTTTCAGTTTGCTATAGTGTGCGCTTGCCCGAGAGACAGAGAGAGGGAAGGTGAGAAATCGCCCACAGGGAGGATAGCCATGGGGAGGGGGGCAAGGCAGCAATCCCCTCTCCTCCACTCTCCTCTCAGGATTTTGGGCACACACACTCACGTGCCTGGCATGAGTTTCAAGTCACAGGGTCCGGGACTCGAACCCTGGCCAGACACGTGGGAGTCCAGCACCATAACCACTATGCCGCCTGCTGGCCCAGACTGCTTTAACGTCTGTTTCTGTAGCCGTACCCTCTTCGTTGCTGCCGGTGTTCACCCTCTAACCTTTGTCGCTGTCCTCCCAGGCCCACTGGCAGAGCTATTCAGACTTCCTCCTGTTGCCCGCCCGCCGGGCTGTGCCTGTCTTGTTAGTTCTTGCTCTAGTCTTCACTTCCTTCCTCCCATTTAACCACCGGGACAGTCTGCTGTTGCCTTTCGAAAGTCCTAGGTGAGATGCCTGCATCCACTCGAAGCTCATCTTTTCAAACACAAGCACTTGAAGCTACCAGTGGCCCTCAGAGTGCAGCCTTGGCTGCATCTCTGACCTGCTTATAATGAAGGTCGATGTTCTCCTGACAGTTCAGTGTATTGTATTCTTCTCTAGCCATTAAACCACGTACAACTGTCATTTGCAAATACATGGGGAGAGAAGGGCGGCCCCGTGGCCTGGTAGGTAAGGGAGCCAGATTCCACTTGGGCAAACACATAGTGGGAATCCCAGACCCAGAAGGAGTCCAAATCACACTGTGTGTGTGTGTGTGTGTGTGTGTGTGTGCGCGCGCGCGTGCAAGCCCAAAATCCTGACAGAACAGGGAAATGGAGAGAGGATTGTGGCGAGACCACACCCCACTGCAGAGTGCATTCCCGCTCTCTCTGGCGAGCACACACTCCCTCTGGCAAATTAAAAAAGAAAAAGGAGCGGCCTGCAGGTGGTGTAGTGATTAAAGGTGCTGGACTCCCATACGGTCAACCCTGGTTCTAGTCTCGGACCTGGCAGCTTGCTTTCTCACTTTCTCTCTCTGTCCCCGTCTGGTCAAATTAAAATAGAGAAATAAATAAATATAGCTAAAGAGAATAATTCTTAAAAGAAAGAAGGAAGGAAGGAAGGAAGGAAGGAAGGAAGGAAGGAAGGAAGGAAGGAAGGAAAGAAAGGAAAAGGAACCTCAGATTGGGAGCTGGCCGTGCCTACTACACACTGTGCTCTCCAGGCCATTATCCTCAGGGACTGTCTCGCAGGGTGCCGAATGGTGCCCCGAGGTGCACAGGGCACGGGGCATGGCGAGCGAGGCTCTCGTCAGGTACGATCCGATCGGTGATTGTGGGGAGGAGTGGCAGAAAATGACACCAGACCCCAGGGGCTCCGCAAGGGCCCAAGGACAGGACGCGGAGGAGGGAAGGGTGATCAATCAACCGTCCTGCCTCCCCACCTGGGGACACAGCGGTGGCCTCCACCACCCTGTCTCAGATGGCAAGACAGAGCCCCTGGGGTCTGCCTCCACAGTGATCCCAGTTGACAGGCAGACAGGGACACGGAGGGAGAGGGGATGTAACATACCCATGGGGCAGGGCCAGCAGGTGGCACAGTAGTTAAGGCACTGGGCTCCCATATGGCTGACCATGGTTCGAGTCCCAGACCTGGCAGCCTGCTTTCTTGCTTTCTCACTTTCTCTCTCTCTCTGGTAAGCACACGTGCCCTATAGCAAACTAAGGAATGGTAATAATAAAAATAAATAAAATTAAAAAAATAATTCTTGAAACACACACGCAGGGGGAAGAGAGGCGGCCCGCGGGCAGCAGGCAAGGACAGGCACCACGCCCGCCTGTGGCCCCAGCGCATCACAGACAGGAAACGCACTGGTGACCTGGTGCACCCTGGCCAGCACCTTGGTGGCCAGCGAGGTCAAACGGGCTGTCACATCAAAGATGGCTGACCGTGGCCAGCCTCACTCTGTGGTCCCCTAAGGATTCAGAGGAAACTTCAGATTTGCGTGGAAAGGGACAGATGGCGCCACACTGCTGACGAC